TACAACCAACTTTTAAATAAACTATTATAATTTATATTTCTAATAGTAAAGATAAAAAATGCAAACTTCAACCTAGTGACTCACCATGTTTTCATGCACTAATACATAAAAAATATAACTGTATGAAACACATGCACACAAAATTACCTAATTAGAACATTACTAAGACAAACATCTTTTTTTTATCTATACCTAAAATTCCCTGTAATGTAGATTCAATGAAAAGACAAACATGTAAAAGTGTCTTATGATTGGCATTTTTTTTAATTTAAAAAAATAGTAAAATAAACCTATAAATAAAATGTTTTTTATATTTATATTTGTAGATTAAGCAAGGTTTTAATAATTTAATTCTTTCAACTAAAAAGAAAATTCATAAAAATATTGGACATATCCAATTAGTTTTCTAATAAATACAACGTAGCTGCAATGCAGACAGTGTCTGCTCCCCCAAAAATCATGAAGTATCATAATTACATCATCAATTTAGCCATAAGAAAATAAGAATCTATTATTATAATATTATTTTTCTGACATTAACTAAATATTTAAGAACATGATAACATTTAAAAAATCCTAGCTTTACAAGTGTGGTAAAAATTTTAAAAACATTATGCACTGCAAAATTTGTTACACACCAACTATGAAATAAAATACAAATATTTTCATATGACCATACCAAAAATGGTAAACATAAACGTAAGCAAAGAATAACAACCTTTAGTGAAAACTTTCCATAAAACTCAGGAGTACCATTTAATAAACCTCAAACAACACAAAAATTTACATAAATTCTAAAACATTATAAAATGACATCATTTTATCTTTTAACACCCTCATATGTAGACATAGACTATGCATATGTATAAAAGGTTTTAATCAAATCATATTATTGACTGGTGGTACCTTTTCTTTCATTATTAATTATTGCATGCATTTTTGTACCATTAATGCTCTTAAAATAGATTTACGACACACTAAGGCTAGCAACATTAGTGACTGAGGTAATTAAATGGGTAGAGCAGTTGCACAACATTATCTATTTAACTTTTATATCTTATTTATCAAATATCCAAACCTGAACTCTGAACTTTTGTGAATTTAAGAGTAAAACCAAAACCATGGTCAAGGTCAAACTATCCTAGAAAGTTTGTTGAATAAAGTCTGGAAGAAATGGCACTAATTTTACATGAGATTGCTGCACACTGATTTCGAACACATTAGTTACGTATAACCATGTAAACTTAAAAAGTCATCCAATTCTAATGTTGGTAATATTAAATTAGAATTCTTAAAAATAGGTTTTCACCATAGTCATACATTTAATCCTTTTTCTTAATAAAACTGGCTTTTGTCCTGTTTCAGAAGTTATCATCAGATTTAATGAACAACAAAACACAGTTTTTTATTAAGTCTTATGATGACTCCTAAGTCAAAAAGCAAGCTTCAATAAAAAATATTTTGCATTTAATATATAATTTGGTGAAAACCCATTTTTTAAGAATTTTCATTCTTGCCACATAAAGGCTTCCCTACTCAACTTCAAAAGGCAGTAGTCTTAAAAATTACATAGATATGAAAACTGAAATTGCATCATTTATGACAAAATATGTTTGCATATGTCATGGAAGAAATTGCTGACTGTGTTGATCTTCTCGAGGCATATAAATCAACAGCTTCTAACACTACCAAAATATCTAAATATATGTATATAACGAACAATAAAAAATAAAACACACACACATCATACATACATACATATATATAAGCTTTATAAGGTTTAACAATTACTTAAACTGATGCATCCTTAAATATTAAAATATATTTTTCTTATGAGATTTCTTCATGCCAGTATCGGTGCTAGATGTACTACCATGCATACTTGTATTAGATAACATACTTCATTTTTCTGCTGAAATGCACATAAGGATACCAGTGTTTAAAATGATAATGTTATATATGACTTTGAGATAACATATTACCTTATTATTATTATTAGAGCTAATCTCTGAGCTATACAGGTATATCTAAAGAAAACATAACACTACACCTCTTAGAAGGCACTATTAATTTCTACAAAAGGTTGGTTTAGCTAATTAAGTTTTTTAAATAAACGAAAAATTTCTATGAAGAATTAAAACATTTGCTACCTTAAATAAAACAACATGCATGTATGGTCAAGTGTATTAACATGATAATGATAATCTGAAATAAATTATTATGCATTTTTTAAATTTTATGTAGTCACTAATTTAAGTAATTTGTCACTTTGTAAGTAACACTGCTGGCCATAGAAAGTGCAAGGCCCCAAGCAGCTGGAAAATCAGATCAATATAAATCCACTAACAAGTTGCATGCTAGTTAGAGGATTCAGGCAAATTTATTCCTCTGAAACAAATCTTCTGTAATTAAAGCAAACTAAGAAATTAAACATGATATATTTTTTGCACTTTAGTATCAACATAATTGGAAATGTTATTCGTAATTCACCAGTGCAGTTAAAAGGTGTTATGCAGCCAATGACCCTTTGTTACTTGAGCAAATGCAATAATGAAGGATAAAACACTGTTTTCTTAGTTTGAAATAGCAGTCACTTGTTTTGTTTGTACTTAAGGTCACCATGACAAAAGTAATACATAAATAGTAAACATGAACATGTACCAAGATATACATCAACTAGATACATGATAATGCTACCCTGAGGGAAAAATTAGATACATGCATATTTGACAACTATATGAAAAAGAAAAGAAAATCAAGACAAAAATGTCTAGTGAATATAATTATACAGTTCATATGTAGGGTAAAAATATTTTAACTTTCAACAAATATTGATACATTTACCCAAAAGGAGTTTAATTTTTTTTTATTATAACTTGTTTCTTTGTATATTTTCAGATATCCACAGAAAGCTATTCAATGACTATCTGTATTAGCCATCCTAATTCTTAACTGAAGATAAATATTGAAAAGCACACACTGCCAATTCTGGGCTACTGTTGTTTGGTCAAATAGTGGAATTTAACCATTACCCTTATCATTCATCCATGGCTCCAATGTGTGGAATGCAATTACTTTTCTTTTTTTTTTGGCAGTAACAGATCACAAAATAATGCACCCATATATCCATGATCTGGTAGACAAACCAATAGGCCATATTTGGCTCTTTATTATAACTACGAGTCAAAGTGTTTTTTAAGCCAAAATTATATTACTGATTTTATTTTAGGAATACTGAATCATATATGTATGATACTCATACAAGTTAGTTATTTATGACTGCTGGTTACTGCTTTCCAAAAAATTCATGACTGTAATTAGAAATGGGTGAAAACATTCCAATTATTTTTTTAAATTTATATATCTCAGAAAATCCAATAATTAAATAATCACGTAAATAAATCAAAAATATACATTTATTAGAAAGACATTTAATTTTCAATAGTAATCAATTAATTCTTGCTATTTCAGAGCTCATGATATCTATCTATATACTACTAAAGCTCTGAGATTGTTTGTCTGTAATTAATTAAATAATCACGTAAATAAATCAAAAATATATATTTATTAGAAAGCTCATGATATCTATCTATATACTACTAAAACTCTGAGATTGTTTGTCTGTAATTAAATACAGCAAAAATGGTGCACAATAGCGCCATATTTGTAATGAAATGAGAACAGAAACAGACTAAAACAAGTTTCGTTAAATATTGAAATTAGCTTGAATTCTTCCTAACCTTTGAATAGTGGGTGACCTAACGGGTCCAACTGTTACTATGGTGTATATTAGAGATGGGATGATAAGAAATAATGTCATTGTCCAACTGTTACTATGGTGTATATTAGAGACCATGTGATAAGAAATAATGACATTATCCAACTGTTACTATGGTGTATATTAGAGACCGTGTGATAAGAAATAATGAAATTACCAAATGTTACTATGGTGTATATTAGAGAGAGTATGATAAGAAATAATGAAATTACCAACTGTTACTATGGTGTATATTAGAGACCGTGTGATAAGAAATAATGAAATTACCAACTGTTACTATGGTGTATATTAGAGAGAGTATGATAAGAAATAATGATATTACCAACTGTTACTATAATGTATATTAGAGACCGTGTGATAAGAAATAATGACATTATCCAACTGTTACTATGGTGTATATTAAAGATCGTGTGATAAGAAATAATGAAATTACCAACTGTTAC